TTAGTTTCTTTAAAGATCTAGGACTATTTACCAATAGATTATTTTCTTGTGATCAGTATAAATTTTTCAAGAACCAAGGAACTCAGTGTTTTTAGTCCCATGAGCTTTGAAAGAGGATTAAATGCCTATTCCTCCCACAGAAAAAGAGGGATTTTTGCAAACTACTACAGTGGGTTTCAGACCCCTTGCATCAAGGCTCAATGATAGGAGAAGTCATACTTTTTCTCCATTTAATTAAGGATATCAGAAGGGTGTTCCTTATTTCCGGGCAAGATCTCCTTCACTATAATTTGCCCCATCTCTTTCAGTAGCTCCAGGAATTGGGCTGATTTGCAATCCCTGGCTCTTTCAAATCTTTTCATAGCTAAATTTTTTCCAATTCCCTTTAATTGTTCCTTGTTTAAAAAAAATTGTCATTCTAATTCAAAGAGGACTTCAATACTTTTTAGTGAGTTAAAAAAAAAAGTTGAAGACAGGGTTTCAAAATCACCATCTCTTGCTCAATACTTCAATTTAACAATCTGATGCCACCACTGCATAAAAAGCAGGGTAATGCTAGAAGATCAGATGTCCTTTGAGGTTCAGCAATATACTAACCTTCACAGAGTTGTGAAGATGGTAAACCACGTGGTTTGGTGCCTGACCACCAGAGTACTCAATAGGAGGCCATTGCAATGGTATCATCTAATTGCCCCAATGCATCAAGTCAAAAAACAACCTGCCACCCTTGTATCAGAAGGCCTTTTATGACTTTTCACTGGCATATAGAATTGGTTAGGCTTACTCTATCCTAAATATTCTCCAGTAGTAGTAGTGATAGTAGTAGTATTTCAAATATCATATACTAGGCCTCTTTATACTCTTAGGAGTGAAAACTTGCCTTAAGATTGGGATGAAATTGCAAATATTAAAAACCTACCCAGCCCCAAACTAAATACAYTCATTCACTGAACATTTATAAAAAGAAAACTACTATATTTACTCAAAATGTTCATGATGGAGAAAGAAACCACTCAGTATGAATAATTAAATGTGATATAGGAGGTGCATCCAGACAACTACCTGAGGATAATCAGTTAAGCATGGGTATGAAATCTGGAGATGTGTTCATTGCCAAAGAAATTGGGAACACACTTGCCTCTGTACTAATCTAAATTAAGTGATACCTCTCTTGGATAGGTCATTGCTAAATTAACAACTAGATTTTGTTAAATTTTTGAAATAGGCAAAGATCTTAAAATACTCTCACCCAAGAACATATGCTTAATCAGATTGAAGTTTAGAAAATCATGTTTTTAAAAATCAATAGTCAACTTAGAATAAATTGATTAAAAACTAACTTGATATCCCAAATCTTCGCCTTTCTATTATTATACAATGGTCTTTGCAATGGTCTTCAAGATAACTATCCTTTACGTCCTTCTATGATGAAACAAAAGAATTTATCCTGTAACTCTCTATTTAAATAACTAACTCTATAATTTTATTTGATACCTGTAAAATTGTGTGTGCAAGAATCATTCTGTTTAAGATAAACATACTTATAAATTAAATTTATTTTGAAAATGGCAGACAGTAATGACATTTATTAGGAAAATTGTACTTCACCCTTGTCCTGCTTTTATATTGAAGGGAACAGAAAATTTGAGCTCCCTTCAAGAAAAAAAAATTATTCTTTCTTGGAAAACTATTAATCATTAATATGACAAAAAATGCATATTTTTGACATCATGAAATATTCCTTCCTTAAAATAATTATACAATAAAAATAACAATCCATTTACTTGAAATGTTAGATTGTTCCCACAGCTTAAGTTTAACTTTTTACATATTGCTCTCAAATTCATATAAGAAGAAAATTTAGTCAATAAGAATCCTTTTAATATTCCCCAAAATAGATTATTGTGCAGGCATTGAGACCAAGAATAAAGTTATTTTGTCCATAGTACTCAGTCTATTGTTCAACTCACTAGAGTAGAATCCATAGAAAATTGCAAATACAAGTTTACTTTATATTCACTCTTATTTCATCCTTGTGTCTTAGAGAAGATGATTATTGGAGGAAACTTAAGCCAAAGACCCTGATACCAACACATTAAAATATGATGCCTTATATTTATCTCTTTCTATAAAGCCTTAGTTAGGACTTAAGCTAAAAATGCTTCCTTCACAAATGTTCACAGAGGGAAAATGATAGAATATGGAATAAGCCGTAAATTTAAGTTTTGATGCAGACAATAAATTACAGAAGTACCAGAAAATTCGTGTCCCCTGCCAACAAAATGTACTCTTTTGAAAATAATGGGCTTCATCCAGGAGTGATTAGAGCTGAAACCAAGCCAATAATTTAATGATAGCTTAAAGTCTCATTGCAAGAGACGCCTGTATTTCAATTTACAGAAAATCTTGCTTTTAAAAATAGTATTATTTTCAAAGTAATTCCAGTTTCTCGTTAATTATACAATAYGCTATGGAACAAAATGCAGCACAAGATAGCCATTATGGCCATAATCCAGCTGGGGATAGAATTAATTGTTGAAATATTTAAGACTTAAATTATATATGCAAGCTCTATCTTCAAGGCATTCCACAGAGTGGACCAAGTATTATAATGAGACTGCATCTTCCTGACCCTTAATTGAGTTCTATGCAATATCAAAGGGACCACAAAAAAGCTTCTGTGATTGAAAATATTCCAAAATGTTAATTCTTTTCAAAATAGAAAAAATTCTTAAGATTATAGTCCTAATTTTCCACTCAATTCAAAAATAAATCCCTTTGATTTTAGTGACATAGGATGAATTATATTGTGTAAACAGATGTGTAAAGAAGACTAAATTGCCAGATTTATTTTTATAACATTACAACACTGAAAGGAGCAACAAAATTCCATTAAAGAAGTATTATTGTAAAGAAAATAAACTCATAAAATCTTTATATGTCCATGATTTTAAAATTCTTACAAAGCAAAATTTCTGATTAAGAAATACATAACATGGAAAAAATAATAGAAAATTTGCAAATTTATACAAAAGATCTAAAGAAAAAAAAATCATATTATACCTTGTGACCTTTGAGTAATTTAAATATTTATGGTCCTCAAATAATTTATCTCTGCCAAAAGACAATCATCTACTCTAGTGTTCATACAATAATCTGTCCCTCCTTAAAATAGCATTGTGTTAAATTAATTATCATAATATTCATTTTTATTATTATTATTATTATTCATAATYATCATTTAGTTGCACCAAAATTTTAAAAAGTTACTTTTCTACAATGTTATATTTTATTCAAAATTAAAAACATAATGCCTTCCCCAAATAAACTTGCATGGGTTGAATATACATCAAAACCACCATACATATTTATGAAATGGGTTTTAGAGAAAACTGAAAATTGAATGAATGAATCTTCATTAAAAATGAACAAACAGGTCGTAATCTCTATAATCCAGTTAATTGGAAGAGGAAAAGCTGGAAGATAGAGATTCTGCATCCAGCCGTATATCACAGACTTTCCTGAAGTATTAGCTGCCACTTTTCTCAATAGAAAATTAACTTTGCAGCACTACTCCAGAAGAATGAGCCTCGTTAGATGGAGTATGTAAAGATGACACCAGGATGTAGGAGGCTTCTAATCTCCTCTTTGCCTCACTGCTGAGAAAGTTTGTTCCACATCTGTGAAAGCAGACACTGGTGACCAGAGACGGGAGATCTCTATTTGAAACCAGCAGAGGGCCTGTGGTCACCACGACTCCCATGATGGCCCTAAACAGTGAGCCAAGGGGCAACTGGGGCAGTGAAACTACACACATACTCCTGAAGGTTAATGCCATCTCATCTTTTAATAAGCTATCAAAGGTAGAAATTCAGGAAAGCTAGAGAAAAGCCTGCAGATGTCTCTGAAGACTGGTGACCTTTCAGGACAAAGTATTTAACTATATAGAACATAGATTCTAGACCATATGTGGATAATATGAAATTATAACCAGAGATATAAGAAATGCGGTCCACTTGATATTCACCTATATGCTATTAGCATTTCTCACTAACAGTTTGTCAGATAAGATCTCATACAAAGGTTTCATTGTAGATTATGCAAATAGAACAAGAATATTGATTCATAAACCAGTGATCAAAATACCACCTCACTGACAAACTAACATTTTGAAAAATGATAGTAACAGTACTTGAAACACTACAAGTACACAGGGGAAAAAATGGGCTTGACACACTAAGAGATAAATAGACTACATAAAAACAATATATGAAATGTATAATTTGACAGACATGGTAGTTGATTTTACTTTGAATCTGATATGAACACTTCATTAGACTCTCATTTAGACAAATGTGGTGGGCTTACTAAACAAGACACTTTAATTTACAAGCTGAAGTAATATCTTATAATTTTATGATCTCAATAGCAAAGCAAAAATGTCCTAGAATCATGTGAAAGCAGCTCAGTCATTAACAGTGATCTCAATCCTCCCTCATTTCTAGCAAAAATGAATGAAGAAGGTTAGCTCATCCTGAGGTATATGATGCTATTCTCAACTGTAGTGTAGTTTCCACATTGTGTCGTGGTGGAAGCCAATATTAATCATCAAGTCTTGACCAGTCAATGACCAAGGTGGCCAGTTGCCACATAACCCCATATCACCTTGATTCTTTGATCAATATGAGTGAAGTAGAATAAAAGTTTTTGAACATAAAAATTATTTTAAGTTCCAAAAGATAGGTATATTTTCACATCTGAATCAAGCTCCCAAGTCAGCTAGACAATGGACTAGTCATCTCTGAACTCACTGACCCCTTAATGATAAATCAACAATGTATCCAGTTATATTAACCAAGATGCTTTCATGCACATCATCCTTAACTAAGAGCAGTTTTATTTAACTTTAAAATATAAATCTTCCCAACAGAAATTTTAGAAACATAATAAAACTGACATTAGCAACATAAAATTCACTGTGTTTTTGAGTCAACACTGACCTTCTGTTCCAAAAGTAATGTGTTTGTAGGAATTGCTGCAAAAGCCTTGTAACTTGACTTGGTCTTGTATTGCTAGAATGGGTAACCAGAAAGCAAGAGTGGAGATGAAAAAGGGAAGAATATGACAATTTTAGACAGCTCTACCAAGTTAAATGACAGGTTATCAAATGAAGAAAAGAGTCATTATACTTGAACAACTTGCTTCTGACAAAAAGAAAATTAGCTCACATATTAATATTTTTATTAGAATGAGAAGCAAAGAAATGCTACAGTAAAATATCAGCCTAGAGATCATAGGCAATTAAGTGCAACACAGTTTCACAACTTAAAAACATTCATTTCCACAGTTACATATAAATTTCTCATTAGCTGCATGCCCTCATAGGAGTACTGCTCTATAAATGAGCAAGGTTCTTTCTGTTGATCCTCAAAGGAATATTTCTTCTTTATAGTACCATAGTTAACAAATAGTATAGCAGTAAATTTAATTGAGCTCTTGATACATTTTTGCATCATTCATAAAAACAGAGATCATAATACATAAAATTGAACAACAGTTCTTAACAAGGTAGTCAATAATCTTAATAAAATATCAGCAATATAACTTCATAATGGAGAAACAAGTAAAAGCCCCTGATCTTTTAAGTTCATTTTTTTCTACCTCATCATCATCTCTTGTACTTTCTAATATAGTGATATTGATAAAGTAAATTTTAAAAACTTCCTAAATTTTAAGTAAAAGTGTGATGTAGTTTAGTTTTGTGGATATTTGGAGAAGAGAGGTGAGTATAAGGAAGTTGTAGGAAGCAGGATAAAAAAAGCATAATCAAAAGCTCAATTTTGATTTTACTCTGGGTCTCAAGCTGATTAAGTTCAAGGCTCCTCTCTCTTCAAATGTCCTTGCTTTAGGCAGCTTCCCCAGTGGCTCAGAGCTAACCGGAAATTGGCACAGAGCTATAGGGTGTCTCAGTTCCTTGGAAAGGAAACCAAAGAGTCTAATGAAGAAGACAGGGCAGTACAACAAAATTAAACCTTGAGTTTATGAGCATAATTAAAGTAACCTTCATTAAACTGCTGGGATGAAGCTAAGAGGATGACACATTCACTGTTCTAGGAAGAAGCTAAAGTAAAAAGAAGTGCCAAACCTAGAGGAAGATGTCAGTGTCCAGCTAGAAACAGAACACATTTTCTTTGTTCATTTTTTAAATTTTCTGTCTACTGTGTTAGATATAATGAAGAGAATTGAGCCATCTGACACCTGGGTGCCAGCTGGTTTGACATGGAAAACCACCTTATCCTGATAATCGTGTTCACCCACACACATGCTCACCTCATACACTCCACATACACAAACAAATGCACATTTTTATATGTGCACAGACTCCTAAATTCACATGCACCCACATAGAGACATACATATATACACATTCGCACCTGTGCAAACACGCACTCAGCAAAGCATGCAAAGATCTCAGAATCTGCATCCTTTTTTCCCATGAAATAAACTCTAAATGTTTACTTATGTTCTATTTTTCTCTTTCATATAGCTATTCTCCTTCATGAAGTTCTGATATTACTCTGGGTCTCAAGCTTCAATTAAATTCTTTAATTTCTAACTTCTACCATGTTCTCCACTCTTCCAAGTCCTGTACTCCCATCTCCTCCTACAAGAAGGACAATTTCTGGAGGATATCTCAGGTCCCTTCATGCCCTAAGACTTCACATTGACCCTAAAATGCTGTGGTCTACCAGCAACAAGGTATTTGAATAAGAATTGAAAAATTCAATGTCACCTCTTCATATAGGAGCAATAGGAACTGACATTTATTATTATTTAATTTTATAGAAATCCTATAATTAAAATCCATTAGGAAAAGCAGAGGCATGATCTCTGTCCAAGTATATCTTATTAGGTTTGATTTCTCATTGTAAACTGTGAGGATAATGATTTTTATGTTATTTAATGTACTAGTATTATTTAATGTTTTTATTAGGTGTTTCATTTTAATCTTAATTCAAGTTACAAACCAATGATAGTAAGTTCTTACTAGTGGGTTCTCCCAATTTGGTAGCTGTTAAACTGTCCTGAAAATCTGTTTAGATATGCACAGTTCAACCAGTGGATTCATTCAACAAATATTTTTTGAGTAACTACTCTATGACATGCACTAGTCCTCTAAGACATATATAATCTTTCCTTTTCAGTCTGAAAATCTTGATTATTGCTATAAAGGATACTTTTTGGATCCACTCTCTTTCCTTTGAGTTCTCTCAACAATATTGTTAAACCCAAACATGAAGTTCTTTATTCTAATTTGGAATATATTTCTTTTTCAGCATTCCATAGCTTTCAATTTTATTAGTTTCCCTATTTGATTTAAAAATAAAAGAAATAATATGAAGCCTTTTAGAAGGGAGATTTTATATTTTTTCTCATTTTATTTTCAACAAATCTGCCAGAGAACAAATGTTGAGCAAGAATTTGTTGACTTGAAATATTTAATTAAAGTATTTAATTGAAGATTATAGCAAGATTCAGAGGATATGAAAAAAACCACAAATTTTAGTTCTTTATCTATTGATCCAACCCTAGACTCACTTGGCTGATGACCCATATTCCTCTCTATAAGCATGTGCTGYGCATACTTCAAACACGTTATGATTTTTGAAGTCATCTTCCAATTTGATCCACAATGTTTGAATTCATGAACTTGGATCCCTGTTTTGTTTAGGGTTTGTTATGTGTGTGTTTGTTTGCTTGTTTTTCCTTTGAAAAGTCTCTTCTGCAAGTTAAATTGTACAACCTCCCAATTAAAATGCAAATACTCCCTATCCCAGGTAAAAGGAAAACTTGACAATCATTGATTGACCTTTGAGTGTGAATTATTACTAAAATCAATTTAGCTGGAGAGAAGCCAAGGGAATGGGACATGAACTGGTTAGTGTTAAGTCAAGTGACACAAATAGCAGACATGGAAGAATTGTGGAATATCAGGAGTCTTCACAAAAGCAGCAAGATCTTTTGAAGGGGGTGGAATRAAAGACAGTGAGATAAAAAGGAACTGAGAAAATATATAAGTCCAGCTACTGTTTTATCATTTCATACAGTCTCTCAGATGATTGCTAAATATTTGTTATTCAACCTACAAAATAACACAGAAATATTATCTTCACTTTCATAGCTATCACCTTCCAAGCCACCATCATCACTATCCTAGCTGATTGATTATAATAACCAAAGTCTCTCTACTTCCCCTCTCATCCTCTTACAGTCTACTCTTAACACAACAGCCAGGATTGTGTCACTTGTCCATTCAAAACTCTCCAATGGCTTTCTGTCTTCCTCAAAGTAAAAATCAAAGACTGAAGAGTGTCTTACAAGATGCCACAGGGTCTGGTTCCCAGTTAGGTCTCCTTCTGACAACGTCCAAGTACTGTCACTCCTCAACTCCACATTGACCCCAGCCTCTGCCCTCAGAACTTTTTCCTCACTCTGCTCTCTTAAGGAATATCACTTCTTTGGATGTTGCTTTCTCAAAGATGATTGACTTATTATTTGGAGAGTTATTATTGATTGTTTCTCTTTCACCATGGAATATAATAAGCTGGCATTGTTGCATGTTTTGTTTGTTGTAACTTGGAAAGATATATATTAGTTACTCATTACATATTTATTGAATGAATGATTTGTTTGAACCCAAACTAATTATTTTAGGTCATGAAGACACATCTCATATTGCTCATTTCCCAAATGTTTTGCAGTTCTGAAGAAATGGAGACAGTTACATACTGACTGCTGCCACTAATTCATCAGTGTAACATAATTGAAAATTGTTTGATAAATGAATGATAGTTTAATAAACAGAATACCAGCTATGGAGACTAATGAAATATCCAAAGCTCCCAGCAGTTTCCCTATACAAGTTATATGTCCAAATAATTTTGAGGCCAGGCCCATTACTGGAGGACCTCACAACTGGAAGAGATATTCAGACCTTTTACAAACCCCTTTTAGTGTGATTCTGATGTAATGGTCACTTCAGTTTATACTAAATACCATGATGACTTACTACAAGAAAAGTTTAAATTATTGTATAAATGAAGGCAAAATATATTTGGAACCCAAACACAACCCCTATGGGTGAATTTTATGATATCCAGTCTTTGTSAAGAGGAAAAAATATGTCTTAGACAATATAAATATTGATCAAATAGTAGCCTGAGCAACATTCAGATAAATCTCTATTCTGCCCAGGGCCATGACTCAAAACAAAATCATATTTTAAAATCATATTTGATGTAATCCAAGTAATCCAGTAATCCAAGCAACTCAGGAGACCAATGAGGATCACAAGTTCCAGGACAGCTTCAGCATCTTAGCAAGACCCTATCTCAGAATAAAAAATAAAAATAAAAAGGACTTGGAATGTAACTTAGTGGTAAAACAACCTTGGGTTCAAGCTGCAGTACAAACAACAACAACAACAACAAAAACTACATCTGAAATTAACATAACAATTATATCATACTCATGCAAACAGATTCAAACTATAAGACCTATCAATGAAAAAGAAACATCAAACATGCTCTTTTTCTGAATTTAGCTCAGCCTACTCTGGCTGTTCCATTTTATTTTAATATGAAAGGACAGTAGGGCCCAGACTTTGAACTAATATCCTTCAAGCATTTCTGTTTCAATTTGTCGGCCATCTGTGTTCTAGGACCCATATCCTTTAGGAATCTGGGCACAAGTGAAGCTGATCTAAATCTGAAGCTCTTTGACTTCAAAAAGAGCCCTGTGCTTGGATTAGCACCACCCTGGAAGGAGCAAGTCAAGAAACAACTTACGAAACCATAGAAATTCTTTGATTTCACAAAGCTTTTGTCTCTTTCTTCCTATCATTCTATAAAATAATCATGCCAATTTAAACAAAAGTCAAATGTCAAAAGAAACTAGGATAGGATTTATCTCTACCAGCATCAATTTTAATGATTTTTTATACTTAAAGTATAATTCTTGAAAATAACGGTTTGTAACAAAAAAAAATGTTGACTGATTTTAATCTAGAGAGATAATATAGCAAGAAGCAAGTAGGAAATAAAGATGAAAGGGAACAGTCTGCCTCAAAGAGCAACTATTTTTTGCAATTATAAAGTTAACCCATGATAAGAAACTTTTTTTTATTCAAAAAAATAGATTAATGTTTTTACTGGTGGTAGTTATAGTACTCACTTACATTTTCATGTTCATCAACTTTAGTGTATATTTCTATAACCTTAAATTTTCTTAACTTGGAAATAAAGAAAATAAAACAGAAAGAAAAACCTAGTGATTGAAATTCTTCCATGGTGGGAGCAGGAAGGGAGTCAGGGGGGGAAATAGGTCTTCGACATACAGGCCTTTAATTTATCAAAAGCCTTTATGGACTCCCTCTTCTGTGTCCAAAACAGGGCAAAACAGGAACAAAGCACAGTGAACCACAAATAGGAACACTTTGAAGAGGCTTATGGAGTAAAAATCACTTCTCACAAAGGTAATGAATAATTTATGTGGCAGCAAGTCTTAAAAAATGATTTTCAATAAGTTCAGAAAATAATGAATAGATGGCCAGGATTTTTAATATACTGCAACGAATTTCATAATCACACATAGGTATTGAAAAGTCATTAAGAAAGTTCATTTCACCTCAAATAAATAGGAATTTTAAATTTAGAATCATAGAAAAAGTTAATTTTATCCAATTCATTTGCTGTGAAAGTTTAAAATATAAGGACTTAGTCATTAAAATACATTTTAATATGATATAAATTGAGAATTCTGGTCATTATTCCATAATAATTATTTCTTTCTTCATGAGAATTATAAAGTAGGATAACTTGGTAATTAATATGAGTTACTTTTGTAGCAATAAATCATAGTAGAAAAAGAACAAGGCTTCAAGAATTAGCAGACTTTAATTAATATAAATGTTAGCTTTGTACCAGATATTTGACATAGACAAGTTATTCACTGAATTTCATTTCTTGGTGTATACAAATAAGGATAAAAATATTACCAATCTCCTGTGGTTATAAAAATAGGCAAAAGCTATGCATTTTAATCAATTATAATTATTTTATGTAACTATTAGATAGTTCTAGACTCACAGAAAGCATTTGATAACTGTAGCTGTAATTATTATTACCATTATTCAAATCTATTACTATTCAAATCTTGTGTCTCCACATATAGTCTTCTGGGATTATCTTCTGTATATTTGGTCAGGTTGTTTTCCATTTCTAAAATGCCAACTCCTTTCCTCTTCATTAAGCTAAATCCTAAACATTTCCAACAAGACTGACATCTATAATAACTTCCCTCACTAGCCATATCCTGTAATAATATTCCTGTTTTATTTAACTCAGTCAACAATTACTTTATTTATAATTTAAATTACAAAATGTTAATTTGATTGCATACAACTTGCCATCTGTATCCATGGGTTTTGCAACAGATTAAATACATTTGGAAAAAATTGTGTCTGTACTGAACATGTACAGACTTTTTAATTCCATTTAAAATACAGTGTGATTGTCATTTACATAGTCTTTACCTTTTACTAGGTATTATAAGTAATCTAGTGATGATTTAAAGTTTATAGGAAGATGTCTTAAGTTATAGGCAAATCCCATGTCATTTATTTATTTGTTTGTTTGTTTGTTTATTTATTTATTTATTTATTTATTTATTTATTGGTACTGGGGATTGAACTCAGGGGTACTAGACAACTGAGTCACATCTCCAGCACTATTTTTTGTATTTTATTTAGAGACAGCATCTCACTGAGTTGCTTAGGGCCACACTAACTTGATGAGGATGGCTTGAACTAGCAATCCTCCTATCTCAGCTCCCAAGCCTCTAGAATTACAGGTATGCACCACCACACTCAGCCATGTCATTTGAGACTTGAGCATCTGCAGATTTGGGTTATCTCTAGTTGGTCCTGGAACCAAATCAAGCAGGAATAACTGTACTTGCTTTCTAGTTTTATTGTAGAATTAGTAACTCTACATTGTACATGTGTATTTTTTCTGCTGAATGAAATTTAATTTTTCAAATTAAAGTATTATCTTTTTCCCCTTTAAAAATCATGTGTTCCAAAGAAAGCTAGTCCAGAGGTAGACATATAGTAGGTTTTTAATGCATAATTCACATTATACCTAAATAAAAAATGCCCTTGGAGTCATACATAAAATGTTACCTTAAGAGAAGGTCAAATCAAAGGGATTTGCAGAAATAAGTAATTTTAGACAGACCATAATTCATCTCTACATTCAAATTTACCAAATTCTAGGATCTCCCCCCCCATACTTTCTCCACTTTCTCATAGGAGCAGAATAAATGTCATAACTATTGATCTTCCCCCTGAAAATCCATATTTTGAAATTAGCATGCACCATGCAAAAAAAAAAATACCTTGGGTTTCTTGTTTTCGGGGCCTGTTGACAGGGACAATGCACAAGGTGAAATCAGCTCCTTGGTTCTTGTTAGAGAGATGGGAAGTGATGGGGTTGAAACGGGTGCCGTGTGGTTGGATTTTGTGCTTTCAGATTTCATCATTCTTGAAGGCAATGAACCACTGCCACAATTTGGGTGCAGTGTTGAGGGACTGAGCTGTAGTGCAGGGGTGGGCAGAGCAGCAGGTGGGACTGAGGAGGACCCCAAGCTGGGAAGAGAGGCACAGCCAGCACTGGAGAGAGCAGGTGAAGAAAGAGCTGAAGGATTCAGCCCCTGGCCTGATGGYTTATATGATGCTCTTTTGGATCTGTCTATCAGGTTTGAAAGGGCTGGGGATGGATGGAAACATTTCTCTGGAGAGGAGGGCATGGTGCTGTGATTAATAGGTGGAGATACAGAAGATAATGCAGATGAGGCTAATGTAGAAGGGTGTGTGTATGTATTCCTGGGATTCTCTGAACCTCTGAGATCCCCATCCTGTTTGTTCTTTGAAGAAGAAAGTGAAGAGCTTGGTGGGACAGGAGGAAGATCTGCAAAACTAGAGGCATTGGTTTGCATTGTACCGCTCTTCAAAGAAGTAGGAGATGGTGTTTTCTCTACATTCACAGAAACAAGGCTGCTATTGACAGGTGTAGTAGGAGAGAGGGAGGACACCTGAGAGGTGGGAGTAGACTTGGTGAAGAAAGGGAGGTGGAAGGATTGCTGGGCCAGCTCAGAAACCTGGTGTTCTGCTTGTGCTGGAGACTGGGCTCTCAGGGAGCAACTTGAGAGAGATTTTTTAGGTGTGAGTGTGGTTTGCTTTACTTTTTGGTCAAGGGCGAGAGTGGAGGAGGCCAGGGAGTTGAGGGARAAGGTGGGGCAGGATGCAGGGGACACAGGTCTTTGGTGAGAAGGGTTTGACTTGAGGATAGCAGTGAGAAGGGAAAGCCGAGAGGGCACCTGGGATTTCACCCCTGTCTTTGAAAGATTTCCACTAGATGACATTTGGCTACAAACAGTAGAAGAGGAGCCATGGAAAGAGGAGGTAAGTGGTTTCGGACTTGGAGAGAGTGAATGCATGACAATTCGGACTGGTATGTAAGAGGCTGAATTCGACTTCAGGGAAGCACTGGAGGAAGGTGAAGGAGAAGTGGTTTTCAGGCTTTCTCTGGGACTAAGGACATTCGAGGTTAAAGGCGTCGTCTTCTTCAGAACTTCAGGTGCCAGTCCAGGGTTTTGATCTGCTGCACTTGGACTGGAGAGATTAGAACCTGATAGTTGAGTGGAATGGGGAAACGGTAATGTCCACGAGGCGCCCTTCGATGCAGAAAAGGGTGAAGAGTGAGCAGTCGTTTGAAAATACGTAGCTGTTTCTTCTACCAGGGCCCCACTGACATCCAGCCTCCTAGTGTGGAACTCCTCTAGGACAGAGGCTCCATCGAGGTTAGCTGGGACAGGTGGTGTTTTCTGATTAGTTGGAGAAACAAAGGAGAAAGCAGGTGGTTTACAGGCAAGCTGCTCAGAAGTAGTGGGAGAAGAAGTTAACTAGAGGAGAGAAACAGACAGATTGAAATAGGACATTATTTGTGAAACCATCACAATATTCTTGTTACTGTGTCACTAAGCAAACAATCCTTCCACTAGTTTACACAAAAGGGGGTGCCTTACATCTCCCTGAAAATGAAGGAATTTCTGTTTTTCTCATGAGGTCCTGCTACAAAATAAGATATAATAAACTCTGAAGATTTGTATCCAATACATGATTGATTCCCTGGTTTGAAAACCAGTGTAAAATTTTCTGTGTTTCCATTTGGAAAATAATTCATTGACCATATCTAAAATATTTATCTTAATCTGGAATTGTGTAATTTGGGAAGAAATAAGTCACCATCTGTATAAATTTCAAACTTCACTTTGGAAAATGAAATAAATTTTTTTTCCATTGGAAGTATATAAACCGTAATGTGAGGATAATGACTACAATCCTAATAATAATAATAATAATAATAATAATCACACTTCAAGTGTTTAAAATTCTAGACATTTGGACTACTTAGCTCCTACATGTCATGAACCTGAAAACGTGCCCAGAATTCAAATGACAAAGCACCCAGAGCAATAAATTAAAAGAGTCAATGCAATGTCCAGAATAGAAAGAGAGCTCTAGATGATTCTGCCTAATTACTTGCCAGAATGAACACTTAAGAGGAACATTTAATGAACATTTAACAAATGATTTGGACTATGCTGGAAGGARTAGTCTCTCTTTGATATCAAAAGAAGCCAGAGTACTTATAAATATAATTCAACTGAAACAAGCAAGCAACCAATTCCATACCAAATAAAGATGCAATAAAAAACAATTCATGTTTTTCTAACAGAAGCTACAGAAAGCCTGTGAAATAACCAGTTGTATGTATTCTTGTGCTATTTTAAAAGTCATCTAGTACTTGAAGACAAGTAGGAATCATAAATGACTCCAAAATCTTGTAAACCGAGACTTCTCTTCAAAATAAATTTGTCAGCCTATAAGATAAAAAAATAAATATACATGTCTAATAAAGAATTTGGAGAATATCAGCTATTCAAATATTCAGGTAGACATATTGCATTAARTACATAGGAAGAAAATATGTATGAATATATCAATTAAACAACAAAGCTTTGGTTTATAAATAGAGTAAAAGATATTTCTTGATTTTGCTTTAGAGCATTTTAAGAAAGTGTCCATCAGCACTCAGACAAAGATATTTATGACATATAGTTTTGAACTCTAAAACTACTGAAAACTGACAAATTMGAATAAATTCATCACAAACTTTTTATTTTCTGAGGAAATATACTAAAAATATTTCTTTCTTTTGTGTGTGAATCAATATGCATATTTGCAACACAGCATTTTTACAAGTAAATAATATTTTATTAAATTGACATAATCCAGAATGTCAGAAAATCAGTGTAATTGATGATCAAGCAGAATTCCATCAAATTGAGAAAGAAAGCTGAACAATTAATATGAATAAGTTTTACTTAGAAACAACTCTGTTTAGCCAGTGTTTATGTGACTGAYTCACGAGATTAGGGAATATATTTATATCCAAATGTCAGCATAATTCTTGTGTCACCACAAGAAGTTACATAATTACTTGTATTTGAATTTGTATTTAATGTTTAAGAAGTTATCTTCTTGTAATTAACAGTATATCCAGGGCCTGTATGTTTGTTTGTTTGTCTGTTTTAATGGTGAATGAGAGGTCTTCTTCAATTGTTTCCATGATTGATCTCTCCTCACAGAAGGAATGGAGCCATTCCGAGGCTCTGAAGGTGTTTGCACATTGAGACATGCCTAGAATAACACAGTTTGGTAACAGATTTTGTAAATTAATATTGACCACCACAAAAATCCTATCACCTTTCAGTCTGTTGTTTCCTAAGAACTTCAATGTATATGGAAAAACTCATTAATTCATCCTGATTATTTGCCAGAATGTCACTGTGTGGGATCATAGGTTCATAATTTTGAGGGGCTCATTCAGAGAAAAAAGCTGTTACCTCCAACTTCCTAAGATTACAAATTTTAATTACCAATCATTCCATTATATTCAGTGATATTACACGTAACATAAGTTACTCATAATGTTACCAYACTTTTAGATAATTAATTGACGAATAACTTCTGAAAGACTCTGAAAAGCCTAAGAATATTTATTATGCTTATGTTAATCTACATGCAATTTCATTATATTTTATTCCATATATTCTTAATTAGTTATAATATATTCATTTCCAACCTACAAATACACCATGATGTTATTCTAATTTATACAAATAAAAAAGCATGACACCATTGTTTTATAAAATTTCTAGGGGTGAAGTTTCATTTTATAATGGAAAAGACTCATTTCCCTGAGTTCCTCTCACAAATAAGTTTTTCTTTTAAAGAAAGTGTCCACACATGGATGAATAATATCATATAGAAGGAAGGAAAGGGCATATGTCAAATTCTCAGTCCGTGATTCAGAATCATCCTTCACTTTACTTCTTCCCCGATATACCCTACCAGTGATGATAAACTTCTTAATTTACATCCAAAAATTATTTCCATCCCTTTCTTTTATTCTCCAGGTTTGTTAATGATGCTGTAATTCCTTCCTCAAGACTATTCTCTGTCTTCTTTACCATTTGCTTCTTACCCCAATTTAATGTTGAGTCCTTTGCTTAAACACCTCTATAGAGCTACCTGTGACTGTCTACAGCATTCTTCTACTTTCTGAGCCCATTCACCTCACATGTACCCCAAAGTCATTCTCAAGACTCTCTTCTAGAAGGACTGTCTTGAACTCTGTACAATCACTATAATCTCAGTGACAAGATGCCTGCAATGTGCTACTCTCATTGGGTAGATGAACTCAATCATAATTTAACCCTTRCATCCTGTATCATAGAAACCCTTGGTTATTTGAGTAACCAACTAATTGCAAAGCTGCCTTGTAATTTGACTAAATACAAAATTAGCTGCTTCTGTATATATTCTTTTTTTTAATGTACCTGTGAGATTCCAAAATACCTGAATACAAGCTGAGATGAGTGATCTGCTAGCTGATGCTGTGAATAGGGTCCCAGTGTTTTGATAGCTCTTAATGTTTGCCTGTATAGTTGTACTCTTCCTTCTGCATCTGTACAAAGAAATCCTAGATTYCCCATTTTTCGTAACCACTGTGTTAAAGTAGTTTGGCCTCCTTACCTATTGATCTGTCCTCTACTCTCTGAAATACACAAAACTCTACAGGGTGTTTTTCAGCTTTTCTTAACTAAGCAAATTAAATAACCTTTTCTGYCATTCCTACCTGTAGCTGTTTCCCATTAAACTCAGTACCAGACTGAGCTTTTGATATCTAATCAATGTTCACCTATGCTCAAGACTTTGTCAATGATTTTACACCAGGAACTAAATAGTTTTCCTTTATAACAGAGTTGTTTTTTTGCTATTCAATCCCATCTCCCTAACTTCCTACTGTTTTTCATTTTAGGTTTCAGCAATACTTTGTTCAGACTCAACCTTTTGGCCAGCATTGCCAACCTTCTAGCCATCTGGACCTCTTGCCCATCCACTTGGCAAATCCTCACTCTTAAATCAATCCCACTAACTGTCATTATGWTCCTGGACATGATCTACTTAAAGCTGCTATGTGAAAAAAAAAATTGGTAGCACTCTGTTAACTGACTGGATCACTGCATTTGACTTACAAATATTGTTCTATAGAAGGACACAGCTCAAAATGGGTGGGGCTTTCCTGCTCCTGTTCAGAGGGACAACTTTTTCCACTCACACGTGGGGTAGGTGAGGCACCTCTGAGAGGTGAGGTTTCTTCACCAATTTGAAGTCTATAGTTTCATCTGTGTCCCTTGTCTCTCATCTTTTTTGTTGGATTTTTTGCCATTTCTCCTGTTTGGAAATTGGCTTCCCCTCCTATCCGTCTCTTCCAAAGTGTTTATTCTCCACCAACCTTTAATCTGCCTACTCCCCCTTGAACTCAACAGACAGATTTCTTCTCTCCTAGGAAAACTGAGATTAACAAGAAACCAAACTTTTCTAGATTCACTTTCATTCTCCTTTCTTTATTCTAAGGAGAAGTAGTGACCTTTCACTTTTTAAAAGGTGTATTCTTCCTGGGTACTCTGAAACATGGCAGCTCTGGCCTTCTTACRGATTTCATTTCTTCAGTTATTCCCCATGTCCTATGCACTCATCCTTGTGTATATCTACTAGCTCACTCCTCCTAACATACGTCTAAAGAAGAAATATTCTCTTTGAAAATATAATAAATATCATTGTGGTAGACAGTAAAAATGCCTGCAATATTCTATTTTTTATGTAATAAAAGCAAAGTTCTTTTCTTACCCCTTAATATGGGCCAGGGGAAGACTAACAAATGCAATACAAGAAACAGTACCTTGAAAAAGTACTTGTACATTGGGTTAACTGACTTGCTGGTACAGAATTTCATCATGATGTAAAAGCCTTGGCTACTCTACTAGGCAATGTAAGACCACTCAGCAGACAAATAAACAATCACCAAACAGCTCACCAGCCATCAACCAACCCAGAAGCCTGTTGCAGACACATTGGTGAACCCATAGCAAAGATCAGTCGAGCCTGATGCACACCTGTGAAATCACCTGATAGAACACAGCCAAAATTTTTGACCTGCAGATTTCTGAGCTAAATAAATGGTCTTGTTTTAAAAATGTTAAATTTTCACCTAGTTTGTTAACCAGCAAAAGTTAAACTGATCGAAATGAGTGCACACACATACACGAAAATTTGTGTTCCCATAGTTACAGGCTCTTCTTGGTCATATCTGTACAGTATAATCACTGTATTGATTTCTTTAATTCTTGTGACCAACATACCCTAAAATGACCCCTCTAAGAGTTTCAGCCTTGTGTAATTTGAGTGTGAGAGGAAACTGTGGCTTGATTCTTAACTAATAGAATCTGACACTGGTGACAAGATTTTTCAGAGGTAATTAAGTCATCTTAAA